CCTACCTAAGTATTACCCATTTCGTTAATTCAATTTTGAATGTAAAGAATATTTTGAATACGCAAGGAAAATTAAAAAAAAATCGTAATAATATATAAATATTTTCCATGCAATAATTAGTAGTACAATTTATCTTTTAATAAAAAAAGCGAAATATTTGGAATATACGAATGCTTATTAAGCAAAATATACAGTATTTAAAGCAAAACGAATGAATAAATAATACTAATAATAAGAGTAAACAAACAAAACCCAATTTCAAACTGACCAAAACATTACCTAAATAGTAAAATTTCAAATTTCAAAAAGCTACCACATTTCAAACGCAACGTTTTGAAAAAAGCTCTCAAGAAGTAATTCCAAAACATTTTCCCACAAAAGATATAATAATTGTACCCTTATATTTCCGATCACAAGACAACAATGAGACAAGGGCAGTTTTAAATGAAATGGATATTCAAATGAAATGCCTGCTCGTGCTTTAGGAAATGCTCTTTGCTGTCTACCAATGCTCCAAAATGTACAGCGATATAACAAAGAAACAATAAAGAAAAAAATAAAAACATACGTAGAGAGGAATGTCGACTTTCACAAAAAAAAACAACAAACAACACAAGCCGCTGGCTGCTTTGCATACAGGGTACAATATCAAACAAAAAAAAATAAAATAAAAACAATAAGATATGAGGGGGCAACCTCGAAGTGGTGAGGCAGCGCCGGGATACAGACCTCTGGATGTGGTCTTGTATGAACCACGGCGCCCAAGGGTCTGATTGGCACTGTTGCAGGGCGAAACACCCCTGCTGTCGTCAGGAGAATCTGAAATAAACCGACATCGTGCTACACTCTCTTAAACACCGGATGATAACGTTTTTCACATAAAATCTACTCGTTTTTATAACATGACAACGCTTATTCATGACTTATACTTCATGAGACTGAGCAGTCAAACAATTTACCTATTTTAAAATAAGACGTTGTCACGTTTTAATAACATCTCACAAACAAACGGATGTTTTGCTCGATTGTTCCATACTGGATATAATTGACAAAAGAGGGTTAATAAAATAATAAACAATAACAGATGCGTGCTGAACATTTAGTCTGCTACTTGTGAGAAAGCGTAGAAAAACTTCACATAACAAAATAAATACAAAGAGGAAATTGCAAGAAAGACGAAGGTTC